AGAATTCTAACCAACTTTAACCAATTATTTCTCAAATTATCCCTCAAATTAGGAAAGGAAGGGACATTAACAAATTCTTTTTATGAGGACAACCATAAAAAACAAACAAACCGGGCATGGTGGCCCACACTTTTAATCCCAGCACTTGGGAGGCAGAAGTAGGTGAATACCTGTGAGTTCAAGGCCAGTCCGGTCTACATAGCGAGTTCCAGGTCAGCTATGACTACAGGAAGACCTTGTCTCAAAAAGACCATAAAAACAAACAAACAAACAAACAAACTGGGCATGGTGGCCCACACTTTTAATCCCAGCACTTGGGAGGCAGAAATAGGTGAATACCTGTGAGTTCAAGGCCAGTCCGGTCTACATAGCGAGTTCCGGGTCAGCTATGACTACAAGAAGACCTTGTCTCAAAAAGACCATAAAAACAAACAAACAAACAAACAAACAAACAAACCAATAAAAAAAGGTTAATTATAATCATCCCCTGATGAACATAGACACAAAAATTTTCTGTGAAATACTTGGAAGCCAAATGGAAGAGCACATCAAGAAAATTATCCACCATGCTCAAGTTGATTTCATCCCAGAAATGTAAGGATGTTTCAGTACACATAAATCAAAAATATAATCCATCATATAATTTGAATCAAGAACCAACTACCTGATCATCTCATTAGATACAGAAAAGGCTTTTGACAACATACAACATGTCTTCATAATAAAAGTCATGGAGAATCTCGGGGTATAGGAGACCTATCTCAGCATAGTACAGCTAATATACTCTAAACGCACAGCCAACATCATACTAAATAGAGAAAAACTCAAAGCATTTCCTTAAAATCAAGAACAAGAGAAGGATGACCACTCTCTTCATTCTTATTCAGTATTGTGCTCGAAATTTTAAGTAGCACAGTAAGTGAAGGAGATAAAGGGGGCACAACTAGGAAGGGGTCAAAGCATCATTCTTTACAGATGATATGACACTGTACATAAAAGGTCCTAGGGAGTTTACCAGAGAAGTCCTGAAAAATACATTTAGCAAAGAAGCAGACTACAAAATTAGCACACAAAAATCAGTAGTATTCCTATATATGGAAAACAAACACACCAATAAAGAAACTAGGGAAACAATTCCATTCATAATAAGCTCAAAAAATATAAAACACCCATGAATAATTCCAACCAAGGGATTGCAAGACCTACATAGTAAAAATTTTAAGACATGGAAGAAAGAATTTTAAGAATATACCAAAAGGTGGAAATATTCTCCAGGCTTATGGATCAAGAAGATTAATATTGTGAAAACAGTGAATCTTTCTGTGCAACTTAGAATTCAGTGCAATACTCATTAAAATTCCAATACAATTCTTCATAGAAATTGAAAGACTAACTGGCCATGAGCAGAGATCAAGGGGTTTCAGAATGCTTAATTATGAATAGGACACATATATCAAACTTTGCCTTCCAAAGCTCAGGGATGTTACAGAAGAGGACACAGAGAAATAGTGTAATATCCAGAGTTGGTGATGACCATAAGAGACAGAGCTTTTCAGACAGCTGGTCAGTGGCTTATATGAACCCACAGCAATTGTTATAAAAACCAAAAAGATCAAGGACCTCATCATAACACGTAATGCCCTGAATCACATAAAGGGGAAAGTAGGCAATATATTGGAAATTATAGGCACAATTTTCTGAACAGGACTCCTATAACAGAAACATTGTGTCCAGTAGTTGACAATGTGATCTCATTGAAACTGAAATTTTCTGTTCAGCAAAGGATGCAATCATTCTAGTTAGGAAGCAACCTATAGAATGGGAAAAGAAGTTCTATCAGCTAGATCTCTGATAGTGCTTTAGTAGCTAGAATAAAAAAGGAATGAAAAGAGTTAAAAATAAAAAAAATTAAAAATGAGAGCAAAGAAATTAACAAGGAGCTCTCAAAAGATGAAACACAATGTCTGAGAAATATTTTTTTTAATGTTCAACATCTTTAGGCTAGTGAAATGCAAATTAATATCACTTTGAGATTCCATCTTACTCCAGTCAGAATGGCTAAATAAAAAATAAATAAGGACAAAGTCTAGATAAGATTAGTGGAAAGGTCAACACTTAATCACTACTTGTGGGAATGCAAACTCGTACAACCACTATGGAAATCAGTGAGAAGATTCCTCAAATTCTAGAAACAGATCTACTAGGAAACACCACCATATCACCTTTGGCTTTATACCAAATTATTCTGCATCTTCCTACATAAATACCTGTTCATCCATGTTCATTGCTGCCCTATTCAAAACAGCCATGAAATCGAAACAACATAGATTTTTTGATTGACTGATGAATAGATACTAAAAGTATGGTAGATTCACACAATGGTCAATTACCTGTTAAAAAATGAAATGAACAAATTTTCAGGTAAATGGATGGAACTGGAAACATTCATAATGTAACCCAGGCCCAGAAAAACAAATAATGCATGATCTCAATTGTTAAGAGGATTCTAGCTTTGAATCCTTAAATAAGTGTGTTTAAAAAAAAATCCATAAAGGCCAGGAAAACAATAAAAGACCATGGAGGGGGGCATGCAGCCTTCATTGGAAGGGAGATAAAATGCAGTGATATAAAGGACATAAGAGAAAAATAGAGTAGGAATGGCTAAATAGGGTGGGCAACAGAAGGGCAAGGTAGAGGAGAGTGTATGGGTGAGATCACTAACACTAAAGGCCAACAGCAAAGGCCATATGAAAACAAACCTATCACAATAGAATCTTCCAAAATATATACATAAACAACATAAAGAGGAATTAAAGGTATTGATGCTATAATAAGGGGCATTGCCCCTCCCACACACCATAGCGTAGCAAAGAAAGTTCCAATGTCAGGAATGGACTCTCTTTTGAAACTGTTATCCAGGGGTCCAATAAATCCATAAACAATATTGACAATTGCCTTTGCTCTTGGCCATCCATGAGAAATTTATGAAAAGACCTTATTGCAGAAGAAACTACAAATGTGTTGCAGAATGAACAAGGAAATATCATGCTAATACAGATTTCAGAAATTCATCACCACTACCTAGCTTTCATAGTTATAGAAGGTGTTATACGTGCTAAAGAATAGGGAAGAAATCGTCCACCTTACCCAGCTGAATATTGTGAGCTATGTGAACAACTAACCTAGGAACATATGCCCACTAGTGCAAAAGTGGCACAATTTTAGCAGAGCAACCAACCACTTTCTGTGTTTATATAAAGTCTACTTCAATAGATTGAGCCCAGCACTAACACTCATATAAAGCCTAGGAATCTCTGGCTAGACAGGTCACAGTACATAGGAGTCTTCTGCTACTATTATTCTGCTAAATTGACATGATATTAAATTAACTCTTAATGACTTGTTACACCCCCAGATTAATGTATCTCTCAACTTTCATCAGAGAAGTTCCCTCATGTTGCAGATCGTGTTTAATATGGACACAGGCAATTGTCCAAAAATAAGAGACTGAAGAGTGCTTATTACTCAATAGGACACCATAGTGAATCTGTTTCCTAATCACTGGGATCATTGTGATAGAGGTGGAAGAAAAATTGCAAGATCCAAAGGCTCTGGATGAATACAGGGAATCAGTATTTCCCAGACAATTGAGTGCTCAGAGCAATGGTGACCAGCATTCACAAGATCCACTTAAGCTGAAGCCAGACATACTCCTAGCATAGAAATGGGGAAGTGGCTAAGAAGATCAAATCCCAGTTGAAGAACTATTGACAACTGATAGCTGCTGGAATGGGGAGAATCAGTTTTCTCTAAAGGTGAGATGCTGGGCAGGTTAACCAGGTTCCAGTGGATGCCACCCCAAGGAGATTTGGGAAAATAAATTTGACTTAATTGGCCTTAAAATAGTACTTACTGAGTTTAATATGGATAAATTGAGATTGGGGTGTTATAGATGATATAAATATATTCTTAGAAATTCATAAACATTTAATAAAATGCCTAAACAACAAACTAGTATGATTGCATCTATTTTCATAATCTGAAAATAAAATAATCTGCCTATCTCTTAATAAAAAGAAGAAAAAGAAAAGAAGGGAAGAAACAACTGGTCACTGTTGATTGTTAAGATGTGATTTTTGGCAAAACTGGAACTGTACGTATAATTTCAAAATGAATTACTGCTTCTCTGATATACAGACCACCAAGCAATGTTATTTATATAATTCATTTCAGTAACATATTCAGGTTGAAATATGATTTATTTTAAATATGTTTTTATTAATGTAAAGATTAATCTTAGTATTTCAACCTAAAAATAGAATGACCATGAGACACTCATGTTCATCTTCTGTAAGTTGTATAAAAATGCATAATTAATCTTACCCTTATATGATTAAAGGGAGAAAGTTTTAAATTCCTCTCAGTAAACTATTTTCATATTAGTGATAAAAAATAACATATCATGTCTCTAAATAGATAATTTAACTAAGAATTCTTAGTCAATTAGTATTATTGCTTTTCAAATGTATTCTTTTCTAATGTATGTAATTTTTGTTGTTGTTAAACATGGCATTTAACAATGAATCCATGGAGAATACATGCTACAAACTTAAAAAATTGGCATGTATTTTTTACTTGTCATATATATATAGAGAGAGAGAGAGAGAGAGAAAGAGAGAGAGAGAGCTATAAAATAATTATAAGGACATATGATTACAATAAATACATCTTGTATTTTAAAGTGCTTTTTTTAAATTGCACTTTTTGTTTTCTTCAAGGAAAAATTACAAAGCATTCATTGGTGAGATTACAGTAAGTTTTTATTAGAGTGTGGTGCTACTAATTTATATTAAGATAATTACATGTATATGAGGTTGCACACAAAATATTTAACTCTAATTCATGCAGCTATTAAAGTAGCTTAACATAAAATTTTGAAATTATGTAATAGTTTGCATAATACAATGAGCCCACTGTGTTGCTCAGAAATGAGTACTTACATGTTTCAGAAGCTGTGGCACTCAGGTTGTACCAAGATCTGACCTCCCTGTCAAGCAGATCTGTGGTGACAATTGTGCCATTATCATTGATATGGAACACTTTGTTTCTGGTGAGAGAATAACTGAACCAAAAGGAAATAAAATTCTTCATGTTATTATTTTTTTAGCAATGCATTGGAGCACTCTCAGACCTTCAGAGAAATTATGAAATGCATACTTTACCTGGATAATCCAACCTGAATAAATTTAATAAAGTATGTCCACATACATCCTTAATGTTAAGTTTGTCTTATATAAAAATGTAAAAATTGTAAAAAACAAACACTGAAAAAAGAAGTGGTGGGTGAAACAAAGGGATTTAGGAATGCATTGAGGTGTTCTAATTGTAAATACATAAAATATGTTAATTGGTGAATGGATTTTTTGAAAAGAAATAGCAAAAGAAACATTTGAAGTGAATAAAATTACAATTAGGTCATGGCAGAAAGGCAGGACTTCAAACATTTATTGTCTTGCTTTGAAGTGAATAAAGTACTTTCTTACTTTAGTGTTACTGGGTTCTTTCTTGTACTAAACTAAAGGCATTGCTTAAATCAGTAAATCAGTTGTATTATTTTGTTTTTTGTTGTTAGTGTGTGTGTGTGTGTGTGTGTGTGTGTGTGTGTTTTGAGGGGCAGGAGCAAGGGGTATTTGGTTTTTGTTTTGTTGTTCTTGTCCTTTTTGACACAGGGTTTCCCTATAGTTCCAGCTGGCCTGGCTCTCACTATGTAGACCAGGCTGGCCTGGACCCCACATAGATTTGCCTGTCTCTCTGTTTCAAGAGTGCTGGCACCAAAGATGTGCAATACCATCCTGTGCTATCAGTATTAGTGAATTATTTTATAGTACTGGACTGCTGACATCTCAGAAATGCTTATTTCTAGCTATTTAACTTAAAAAATTATAACACTTAGTGAAAATAAATTTCCTTTGTAATGCATATTGGCATGCAGTTATTGCAGGAAATTAATTTTAGCTACTACAAATATTTGAAATCTACTATCCTGTCTTTTCCGGATATACATATTGATTATGTATTTCATTTAGCATGCATAGAAAGAAGCTGGCATATATATTTTCTCATGTAAAAGTCTGAATAATGGTCTCACATCGACCACAAAAGAAGCATTCCAGGGGCTCAGAATGTTTCATGAAATAAGTAATAATAAAAATGAAGGAGTAGCAATATTTCTGGCTTACGTGACTTCATCACACACATTCATGAAAACTTTCCTGAGACCGCAAGGAGGATTGCCATAATTATGTGGTGGGTATAAGAATAATTTAATCTTGAACTGACAGTTTTCTAAAAATATTGTACTAATTTATATCTTGGTTTTCCAGGAGAAGATTAAATAGGAATTAGTGAGAATCAGGCTTTAGAAGAGTTCAATTTTAGATTCATTCAATGCGAAGTTATTTAAAACATTTTACTTTAATATCCACAAGTGGGTGCATTTCTCACTAAACAGATTTGTTGGCAGAATGAAACAGTACTTTAATGGTTGCTATTTTGTATTTAACATCTAATCTTGTTTCTATAAAACCATTCCAAATAAAGCCAATTATAAGCTTGATGAGAAATTATGGTTTCTCATAGCTTAATAAGCATCTGTTAGAAATTAGGAAGAAGAGCCAAGACCACAATAAATAGATTTTGATCCCATAGGAAATTTAAACTAGAAATAAAAACAGATGTAGGCTTCTAAGAAAAGTAGCTAAGCTAGCAAAGATGGGCAATGTGTGTGGTTTTCCTTGCTTCCTTCTAGAACCTGTAATTCTGAAAATGTAACTATTTTTTTTCCATTTTCAGTATCGTTTCACAAAATGAAATATGTTGGCATTGACAACAGTTGAAATTTTAAATACACGTATTTCCCTTGACTACAGTTTCTTATTAATTTTGAGAATAAAAGTCTACCCCTGTAACACAGGCTAGTGTAGAACTCACTGTGTTGTACAAACTGTCCTCCAACACACAGCAATCCTTCCTCAGACTCACAAGTGGTCAGATTACACACATGAGCACTGTACTTGACTTCTCTTTACTTTTATAAATTAGGGAATAATGTCAGAAAATCTAACAGTAATAAGTGGTGTTCTTTTGACTTGCCTTATTGTCATTGCATTATTGTCAGTCACAAGTATCATTAGTAAATCTCTCACCAATTTGATTAAAACTATATGATGAAACGTGATCACCATAAGGGAGAAAAGCAATCAATAGTCTTGCCCAGAAAAATGACTGGCCCAGCAAAATATGCCTAATGATGTATAGTGGCATTTTTATCTTGGGAGGGACATGCCCAAATAATAGGAGATAATTCCTACCAGTACTGTAAACCTAGTCAACTATAAGTGGATGGAGAGTGCATAGACCCTAGGGGAAAACCTAGTACTGTACCTTTCCTAAGTCAATATAACTTCTAACTGTAGTCTAGAAATTTATTCTTATGCCCACAGACAAGTGTATCTCTCACCCCTCACCAAATATGCATCTTTTTGCAACAGAGGGAAAATATTAGAGATTTGCAAGCTGTAAAAATGCATATAATATGTAAATATGATGTGTTTATCCCTAATACTTCTCCAATGCAACCACTATACCTAAGGCTCAATGATTATGAGGGAAGAAGGTGCAGATATTTTGCAAGTGGCAGAGACACAGGACACCTGCTTCTAGATAGTGTCTTTGAGACATGGCAGGGAAGCTGCACCAATGAAACCACAATGTGGTTTCCTAAATAAGACCTTCATGATGACAAACCAGTTGACATGCCAATGTCAGTGGGGGAAATTTCATGATGCTCAACCCATAGATGAAGATATACAGGAAATCAGTAACTGCTGAAGAAGGGAGAATCAGTTTTCCTCCAGGAATGAGCACCCTGATAGATTTTCCATTCAAAAGGATGCAGCCCTAAACATGTATATACATGGACTCCTTAGGTTGTGGTAAATACATTACCATAATTACTAAAGAAGTCATAAAATTTAGAGTGTGTAGAAGGAATGTAAGAAGAGTTAGGAGGTGAGGGAGGATTTGAAATGATGTAACTACAATACTCATGTAAAACACTAAAAAAAAAATCTAAGAGAAGAAATAAGATCACATAATGAAAAACTATGGCAGAACACAGGTGGCAGAAACAGGTTTACTAAGGCCTCAAATAGTGTAGTTATCAAATAAAAATCATGAACTATTTAACACTTTAGCATACCAAATATGGTATCTAGTCTCAACAAATATCTATGTTTTCTAACAACAAAGTTTCGATAATTTGTAAAAAGTCCTTTATCAGTTTCAATTTGTTCAAAAACTTTTATCAAGATCCATACATTGCATTTTGATATCCATGAAAGTCCTGGCAATGGTACCATTAGCTGGCTGTATAAAAATATACTCTCAGCATACTTATGTCTCTCTCTCTCTCTCTTGCCTTCTAAGTTTTCTGGTATCTTATGTCAACAAATTATCGATTGATTTCCACATGTGCAGTCCCATGCTCTAGCACTTGCTAAAACACAAGCACATACACAATAAATACAAAATAATTAAACATACATACAGATAGATAGATAAGATAGACAGATGATGATGAAGATGATAGATAGATGATAGATAGGTAGATAGATAGTTAGATAGATGATAGATAGTTGAGAGACAGATGATGATTATAGGTAGACAGACGATAGGTAGATAGACAATACATAGATGATAGATAGATTAGATAGATAGATAGATAGATGATAGATAGATGATAGATGGATAGATGATAGATAGATAGATAGATGATAGATAGATGATAGATAGACATAGATGATTGATGATTGATGATAGATAGGTAGATAGATAGATGATAGAGAGATAGCTATGTATCAGCTATCTATCTATCTGTCTATCAACTATCATCTATTTATGTATTTTTCTATCATCTATATATGTATCTATCTATCATCTATCTATCTATCATCATCTGTCTGCCTATCATTTATCTATTTATTATCTATCTATCTATCTATCTATCCTCTATCATCTATATCATCAGTCATCCATTTATGTATCATGTAGGCATCTGACATCGATCTAACTTTCTATTTATCACCTCTATGACCTAAAACTATCTATCTATCTATCAATCATCTATCATCTATCTATCTATCATTTATCTATCTGTCTATCTATCTATCTATGTATCATCTATCAATCATCTATCATCATCTGTCTATTTATCATCTATCTATCTATCCATGTATTTTTCTATCATCTATCTATTTATCTATCATCCATCTATCTATCATCATCTGTCTGCCTATCATCTCTTTATTATCTATCTATCTATCTATCCATCTATCTTCTATCTATCTATCTATCTATCATCTATCATCTTCTATCATCTATTTATCATCTACCTACCCTTTCACCTACCAAATATTTCTCTATCATCTGTCATCTGTCTACTTAGTACCATTGTGTCTACAGTCTATCAAGTACCTATGTACGTACCTTTTCTTTCTTTCTTTCTATCTATCCATACATTAATCCATCCATCCATCCATCATCCATCTATCTATCTATCTATCTATCTATCTATCTATCTATCTATCTATCTATCTATCTATCTATCCTATCTATCCTCTATCTTCCTCTCTGTCCATCTGTCATCTACCTATCATATATCTATCTATCTATCTCTTAGTCTATCTATCTATCTGTCTGTCTATCTATTTATCTATCACCTATCTATTGATCGATCATCTAACTATCATTCATCTATCTATCATCTTTCTATCATATATCTATCTATCATATATCTATCCATCCATCTACTTATCTCATATATATATATATCATCTATCTATCGTCTATCATCCATCTATCTCTCTATCATCTATCTATCTATCTATCATCTATTAATCATCTATCTATTCATCATTTATCTATCATGCATCTATCTCTCTATCATCTGTCTAGCCATCTATTATCTATCCATCATCAACCTATCATCATCTGTCTATCATCTATCTATCTATCTATCTATCTCTTAGTCTATCTATCTATCTACCTATCTATCTATTTATCTATCACCTATCTATTGATCGATCATCTATCTATCTATCATCATCATCTATCTGTCTATCATCTCTCTCTCTCTATCCATTAATCACCTATCTATCGTCTATCTATCATCCATCTATCTATCGCTCTATCTCTCTATCATCTATCTATCTATCACCTATCTATCTATCCTTCATCTATCTATCCATCTATCATCTATCTATCCATTCCATCATCTTTCTATCATCATCTATCTATCTATCTATTCATCTATCTGTCTATCATCTCTCTCTCTCTATCCATTAATCACCTATCTATCGTCTATCTATCATCCATCTATCTATCGCTCTATCTCTCTATCATCTATCTATCTATCACCTATCTATCTATCCTTCATCTATCTATCCATCTATCATCTATCTATCCATTCCATCATCTTTCTATCATCATCTATCTATCTATCTATATCTATATCTAATATCTATATATATCTGTTATCATCTATCATTGTGGTGTGTGTGCAGTTATCATCTATCCATCATCTATCTCTCTATCATCATCTGTCTATCTATCATCTATCTATCATCTATTTATCATCATCTGTCTGTCTATCATCTATCTATCTATTTATCTATCTCTCTATCTATCTTCATCATCATCATCTGTCTGTCTTTCATCTATCTGTCTATGTATCAGCTATCTATCTACTGTCATCATCTGTCAATCATCTATCTATCTATCTATCATCTACACGAAATATTTAACACTTTAGTATACCAAATATGATATCTAGTCTCAACAAATATCTATGGATAAATAGATGATAGAGAGATAGATGGATGTTAGATAGATGATAAATAGATAGGTGATTAATAGATAGGTAGATAGATAGATGATAGATAGATAGATAGATAGATAGATAGATAGATGATAAGCAGATAGATGGATGACAGATAGACAATAGGTAGATAGATAGATAGATAGATAGATAGATAGATAGATAGATGATAAATGGACAGTTGATGATAGATGATAGATAGATGATAGATTGATAGATGGATGATAGATAGACAATAGATAGTTGATTAAAGATAGATAGGTAAATAGGTAGATAGATAGATAGATAGATAGATAGATAGATGATAAATGGACAGTTGATGATAGATGATAGATAGATGATAGATTGATAGATGGATGATAGATAGACAATAGATAGATAGATAGATAGATAGATAGATCATAAATGGACAGTTGATGATAGATGATAGATAGATGATAGATTGATAGATGGATGATAGATAGACAATAGATAGATAGATAGATAGATAGATAGATAGATAGATAGATGAAAGATAGATGAAAGAGAGAGAGAGAGAAAGAGAGGACTACAGAGCTGGGGAGTGGGTTCAGTGGGTAAAAATCATAAGAACCTGAACCCCAGTAAAGAGATGTGTACCCATACGTACGCCTGTAATTCCAGCTCTGAGGGGAGGCAAAGACAAGATTATCTTTGCTGCCTGCTTTCAGTCACTAGCTCAAATTTCACTGTGAAACCCTGCCTCAAAGGAATAAAGTAGAGAATGATAAAGCAGGGTACTCAATGTTCTCTGGCCTCCACATCTCTCTCCCCCTCCTCTCCTCTCCTTGCTTCTCTACAAAGACAGTGTTTGAATTAATTTAGGGGACCATATCCTATTCCTTACATATTTTTGCATCTGGACCATTTCACTATATGTTGACCCACATTGAACTTTTTTATTTATATGTCTCCATTTCGTTGTTAAAAAAATTCATTAAATACAAGATAGGGAAATATAGTTTACATGTATCCTGTCTTACATTTGCAAAGTGCCTTATTGTTATGATGATGTTTACTCATGTATTAACACATTATAAGTAAATCTAAACACATACCTGATAGGAGAATTTCTTTCATCTGGGTCCATGGCAGATACTATCCCTACAAATGATCCATGTGGCTTTCCTTCAGAAATTGCAAATATATAATATGGAAGGAGGAAAACCGGAGGCTCATCCTCATCTTTCACTTGGACTTTAATGTAGGTTGTGGAGGCATTGGTATGGGCGTGTGCAAGCTGTTCATCCACATGTCGATTTTTAACTTTACCTCTAATACCATAGTGGCTCTGGCGCTCAAAATCCACTTTCTACAAAGAAATTTACAGTGTACAGAAAAAATGGCTTCAGTGACTTAAGAAAATAATTAGGAAAAAGAAATCCTTGTCAGGCAGCTGGGGAGATGGCTCGGTGTTTAGGAGCACTGGCTGCTTTTCAGAGGAAGAGGGTTCGAAGCCCAACACTGACATGGTGAATGACAACCGTGCCTAACTCCAGTTCCAGATAAAACCATGTCTGCTTCTGACCTCCACAAGCATGGGTGTACCCACCTACAGGCAGTCATACACTCATACACTTAAAATTAAAATAATAAATATATATTTTTTAATTTTCATGTCAGCCAAGTTTGTTTTTTATGTATTTTTGTCTATCTGATATTATCCTTAATCAGGCATTAAAGTTTGTATTTTGTCATATACCATAAGATGATTGAATAATTATATTTTTATTTAGAAATAATATTACACATTAATAGACATACATAGATTATAAAATTGCTATTAAGATAATACTTTTCTAAGTTGCCTTTATTTGAAATTATTTTTAAAATAGTTCTACATACAATTTAAGAAATTCTATAAAAATTATGCCTCTCGTATCTTAACTGTCTCCCTAAACTACATACCATGAGCTCTCATTTCAGTGATTAATGAATCAAATGCAACTAACAACTCTAAATAATTACATGTGTTTGATTATATTCTACACTATTCTGCACTTCAAAGAATTCTAATGTATGTACCTTTTTTAGTATAACTATTCCTTCTTTGGTCTCATTATCTGTGATGATGTCAAATGTTTGTGAATTGTCCTCTTCAATGCTGTAGTCCATTTCTGCATTCTCTCCTACATCATCATCATATGCCATAATTTTTCCAATTGCTGTCCCAGTGGGTGCATTTTCAGAGACAGTGAAGCGGTAGAAACCTTTGGAAACAAAATTTCAGGCATTTGCATAAATGTTTTCATTAGAAACTCCTAATCTTTTAAATTTTTTCATGGCATGTAGGAAACCCTAGGCTTTCCTTAATGGTTCTTTGATCTATATTACAGTGTTTCTTTCTGAGAATGGTGTGCATATGTGTATATTTATACATTTTATTCCTTTATCTGAAATAAGAGCATTACTCTAACACCCACATGAAAAATCAAAATTTTCTCTCAAATATATCCTATTACTAACATGTAAACGTAAAACTTTAGTTTATGAGTTCCTTCTCAATGCTATGAATTTATTTTTAACCATACAACTTTCAGAAATCCAATTTTTGAAAATATTTTATTAAATTTTTTTCTTGAATGTTCCCTGATACCTAGTGTCAGTAATAAATTTTAAGTGTAATGTAAAAATGGGACAGAACACAAATCATTGAGCTCTAAGCATGATAGTAAGTCATTGAAGTTTCAACCTGAATTACATTAGCTGTGATAGAAATGTAAAGAAAGACTTATCTAAAAGATTTGGAAAATTAATGCAGTAGATTAAGCATGTCAGAGATGAAGATGACTATATTGACTTAATCATGAGGATATGATGCCAACGAATTTGAAATACATCAATGTAATGACAGATAAACTTTCTGTTTATTTTTTCAGGGAGCAACACATAAAATTAATAAAGAAGTGTACCACTTTAAAGTACCATTCATAATGTGTACTAAGATTCAGGAAACGCTTTTACACCTCGATATTCTAAGAATGACATTTTTTAGAATTATAGAGGAGTACATATAGTAGAATTATTTATGGAGATAAATAATTGGCTCCTTTATAAGAACATAATGTTACTTTATTGATTGTATTTGGAAATTCTGACTTTTTTAAAAAAAATTGGGCAAAATCTTACTTAGATATTGCCAATATTTCACCATTTTATATTTTTAAAATTATTTATTTAGTAACCACATGTTTAGAAGAAGCATTTAATTAGAGTATTATCATATTCAATAACAGTTTCCAGAGCAAAGATGCATCTCTTTCAAAATTAGCTGTAAATTTTTAGGCTCACACTTGAAATAATACAGTTATACAATATTAAATTCACTATAAACCTTAGAAGACATAAAATTGAATGAGGTTTTAACCTTTAAAAATATCTCCGTGTGGCATTTTGGTGCATGCCTGTAGTCCAAGCACTTGGGAGGCAGAGCCAAATGGATCTCTGTGAGTTCAAGGGCAGCCTAGTCTACATAGTTAGTTCCAGGACAGCTAAGACTACAGGAAAACCCTGATTCAGAAC